CTCTGTCCGTGAAGAAATTTCTCCTAATATCCAATCTAAACCTCCCCTGGTGCAGCTTGAGGCCATTTCCTCTCATCCTACCACTAGTTACTTGGGAGAAGAGACACAACATTTATATCTAGATATAAAAAAACCCCTCCCCAAACAAACAAAAACCACCCTTGTTCACTCCTCCATGACCTTCCTTTTCCCTTCCTGCACTTCCCAGATCCTTTCTCCTCCAAGCCCTGAAACCCATGACTCTGCCTGACCTGGCAATCGGGGTTTTCCCCACACAAGAGTTATCACAACATAACTAAAGATCCAAAAATATATTTATATCCATATAATTTACTGCAAAGGAAAGGAAACACTGCTAGTGTACCATGCTGCACAAGGGTTAGAGTTGCCATTTCATTTAAAAAAAAAAGTTACAAGAAGCCCTTCAGATGCATTTTCTGTGCTGATATTTTTATGCACTGATGCGTTATAAAATATAAAACCTGAGTGAGGCTCAGGCCATCACATGCTCACAGGGCTAAGCTGGAGCTGCATTACTGGGGCTGTACAATTCTTGCTGTGAATCAGGTTATTTAAAACCCAGACCCAGAGAAGCACACTGCTTTCTGTACTCCACCTGCATTTTCATCACTTCTCCACACCCTCCCAAACCAGCCAGTACTTCCAACTTCCCATCTCTTACCTGCTTGCTGTTTAAGATGCAAAGCTGTCAGTGTTTGGCCAAGACTGAGCTCTCCCACCTTCCCTACATGCCTACAGAGGGTTAGGGAGGGACACTGGGGACACCAGGCTCAGCCCTGCTCTGGATGCCCCAGAGCTGCAGCTCCCCTATGTTGCTTCTCAGATCTTCCTCCTTCAGAGCCCCTGCCTGAAGCTTTCAGCTGCATTTCTTCTCTGCTGCTTGACCCAGGTCTGGGAGCTCCAAAACTGAGAGCAAACAGAGCTTAGAGGAATAAATCAGGCAGGGAAAGGGAACAGCTTGAGCAGACCCCTCCAAGCATGAGTACAGCAGAGTGTCCTGCTTGGGGAAGCTAGAAATAAGCCTCCCACACTCTCATTAGGCAGGACTTTCAATTAGCAAATTAAGGGCAAATGTTGTACCTGCTGCTAAGACCCCTCTAAGAGAGCCCAGCTGCATGGTGCACATCAGCAGCCTAATTAGGTGGCTGGAGGGAGCCCTCAGCAGTCAGTGGCTGGGGACAAGTGGAGGCAAACGTGCCTCTTGGCTGTTTAACCTGCGGAAGAGATGTATTTTCCTTGACTGACCATGTTCTTTGTAGCACTCCCGTAGGTGCTGGGTCATCCCAGCACTGGGGGCAGCTTGGGCCAGCCCTGGGACTGCCCTGGCTTACACCAGCACCTGGGTTACACAGCTGGGCAGGCACCTGTGTAACCCACTGCAATTAAAATCCTTGAGTGAACATCTCGCTTCCCTGCACTGATCTGAGACCCCCCTGTTTCTCCCTGAGACCATCTCCGTTCTCCCCAAATTTGGTGACAAACCCTCTGCGCATGTCCCACAACAGCAAACCCGCTGAAGCAGGGAGGCCTTTGCTCAAGCCTTCCTTGCTGTGATTAAGGTCTTTTTAATAGAATAAAGAACCAGATGGGGTCCGTTGAAACCCAGGCTGCGGCTCTGGCCGAGACTGGTGGCTTCAGAGAGCCCAGGTGGCCACCAACTATTGAATAATGTGTCCCCGGATTTGGTGGGAGAATGAGGCAGCAGCACCTGGAATGACCCCAGCTACACCCGGTGAACTGTCATGTGGAATCACAGCCTCGTTTAAAAATCTCCTACCAGCATGTAATTTTTAGTCACTGATCTTATTTCTGTTACAGCTGTATTTATGTATTATTAATACACTGATAATACTCCTTGCAGGACAACATGACTGGTAATCCTACCCCTCGTAATCCTACCCCGTGCTTCTGCCATTGCTGTTAGGAAGTGTAAACAGCACCAGCAAAACCCCTTTTCCCTGCAGGAATATTTTCAAAGACAGCAGAGCAGGATGACGTGGCCTTCTCAAGGACTTTTAGAGGATTTTGGTCAGGGAGTATTTCCAGAGAAAAATCCCGTGAGGTTCACAGAGACGAAAGAAAAGAGTTGATTTTCCAGCCTGCGACACAACTTCAGCCGAAAGCCTGAAACTCGGCTTCCCCGCCAGGCGCAGCAAGATGAGCGATAGATGCGGGAGCTCGTCTGCCTTCAGCCACCCCGCGCTGGCTGCCTTGGTGGCATCTGGGAGTGATGCACAGCCGGGCCCGCAGTTTGTGGCGTCACATGCTGCCATCTAGTGCCATTTTTTCAGTTTCATATTCAGTTTTGTGGGTTGTTTTGGGTTTTGGTTTTTTTTTTTTTGATGCTGAAAGACGTGTGAGCTTGGTGTTTGGGGCTGACGAGGGCTGCCTCCTTTACAAGATGCTGCTGACTATTTCCGTCCTGCGCTATTGGATGCTTAGACTTACAGGATGCCTCAAAATTACAGCTCAGGCCTTGGCAGCGGGTCAGTGCCGACTTTTCGGAGGCATGTCACAGTTTAGAGGACACTCCAGTTCATATCCAGGAGGTTAATGATGCCCCACATAAAGTGTAAGTCAGGTCTTACTGATGAAGTCATACAATCATAGAATCATTTAGGTTGGAAAAGACCTTTAAGATCATCCAGTCCAACCATTAACCTAACACTACCAAGTCCACCACTAAACCAATTAAGGGGAGAGGAATCATTTCATGTTTGCTGGCTTGGTGGCTGGGGTATTTTTTTAATGAAAGGAAAAACAGGGAACATTAAGGGTGGAAAGGACCCCT